ACCTCATTTTAGGTTTAGACTTTTTCTCCCTTTGATCCTGCCCAATCAAATCCTGCAGGATCAGAGGTGCCATGGCATCCTGAAGTCCCAGGAGACTAGAGGAGTTCAAGCTGGCTCTTCCAGCGTACACGGCAACCCCTTCCCACCTCTATTTGATGAAATGCAGTGACAGCTCATGGGTTTATTAAAGACGCAAACAGGTGTACTGGGGGTCAGGAGTTACTCATCCAGCCGTTACGTCAAGAGAACGTATTAGCAGTACGCAGGTTGCCATAGAGAATCTGCAACAACAAATCCAATTTATGTTGAACTGCACAACATTCCTGAAAATGCTGAATTGTCGTTCACTGGTAAGAGAACTTTGTGATGTAATCTTCAGATTGCAGCAAAGAGGAAAAAGTTTATACGCCTGTTAGAGAGTTGCATATGTTTTACGGCACGTAAGATAACCCCATAGTCGTCTCCTCCTAGAATTTCTTCTTATTTTGTACTGAATTTGATCTGTGAGTGGTTCTCTGTATTGCAGTCATGCATTAAAAATATGCACACAATTCTTTCAATGTAGGTGATCTCACATTTTCATATATAAGAAACCACAGGAGGGGACAGAACTACATTTTGTTATACTTCACTGTCTTAATTTAAGCAACTGCATCCATACACAGATGTCTAAATATGCAGCCTAGTTATCAGAGGAGCATGTCTTTGCAAGTCACAGGATGCTGTTGGTATATGGCAACTCTGAAAATCAGACCACTTATTACTTGTAATAGATTTACTACTGTGTGTAGACTTAACTGAAAGAGTAATTTGAAAACTGAGAATCCTTACCTGTAATTAGAGAAAACCAAAGCAAGCCCTGACCAGTACATTTTCTTGTTATATTAGCAAAATCATCTCTACAGGGTGGGAAAGGAGAAAACAAAGCAAGTCTTTGGTTGTAAAGCTCTGCAGTTAAGCAGAACAAATGCTTATCTTGTACTACTCTCAAAAAAGAAAGATCATTTTTGGATCAATAAATCTAAAACCCAACATCCACCAGAGGAAGTTACCAGAACTGAGTTAGATAGAAGAGGCAGCTAGAAATTAAAAAACGAATACAGCTATACTGCTAACTATATTTCAACACAGCATTTCAATACAGTAACTTATTTTCTACCCCAGCCTTAGTGTTCTGATTTCTAAATCACTATAGCAATTTAATAAGAAAGCTAGTTTCACTAATTGAAATTAAAGGCTAATTCTACCAGACCATTGTATAGACAGAATACAGATGGCAGTATTTAGAAAGCTGGAGACTGGTGTCTGCACATAGAAATTTAATTAAAAAATGAGTTTATATCAACTGTTTTTATTAGATATCAGCAGTTTACAAATTTGAATTAAGAAATAAAGTTACAGAACGGAATTAGCTTAGCTCATTCTTGGTTGTGAGTTTTTTTCTTTAAGGTCATAATCATTTTTATACAGGATGTCATCAGCAATAAGTTCTAGACTGTCTAAAACACAGCCCCACTATTTCCTCATTTAGTATTTCATAATTTATCAAAAAACTAAGATTGTTCTAAACATTTTTAACAAGTATTTAGTTAACTACTCTATTAGGTCCTTTATATATTTTAATTTCTTTTTCAATTTGTACACAATACAGATTTTTAAAAAGCACTTAAGGATTCTATATTGCAATTTCTTGTAACTTTCAAAACTAGGAATAAATAGATTGTTCCCATGACAAGATGAAGTCGACTACTCAATATACCACGTCTTGTCTTTGCCATACCTCACATCTAAGCATACAATTTTCTAGCAGGAATATTAAAACACTAATTCCCCACCATTTTAATGCACATCGATTTATGACTGCAAGAGCTTCTACGTTCTGATAAGCACAGGTTTAACTTAATTCTATATTTTGCTACAGTCCACTAAATACCACCTCAGCATATGCTTAAATTTAACATTTTCTTCTCCACAGCTCGTAAGCCAGTCAGAAGACAAGTTATGTCTGGCAAGCAAGAATGCAACTGCGCTGAGGCTTCTATTAGGAAGCCTCATTTCCAAGGTACGTGTTCACCCTTCTTTCTCTTTCCTGCCTCACAGCCAAAACCAGCAATGAAATAAAGCTTCTAACATTAAGGGCGCTAAGAAATATAAGACTGTAAAGGGCGGGGTGGGGGGAGAAGCATATGCAATGTAACAAGTGGCTACAAGACTTCTGCTCTGTAAAGATGAAATAGCAGTAAGAAGAGGCTGAGCCAGAAAGCTGCACAAGGAAACAAATATGCTGGAACAAGTAAAAACATCAACAGTCTTAAGGCAACTGTCATTCGAATCAGCAGTGTGATTACTTGTATAGCTGAAGAGAAATCCTTCTTTAGTGTACTTAATTATGCCGATACAAAAGATGTTATGAACCATATCGATCCTAGAAAAGTAAAAAAAAAAACAGACAGGCATGAGTATGTTTTCCATTGAAAAAAATAGTTTTACTCACATTTGTAAAATAAATAGTAGTTTAATTCTTAAAGACCTAAAGAAAATTGACAAGCGCTTCCAAGAACTGGAGTTTATGGTTAAACTCCAGGATAATTAGCCTGATTTTCAAACACCCGAGAGCTCCCACTGACCTCATATAGAAAATGCAAACTAACTGGAGCATGAAGCACGCTTTACACTATTGAGACCAGAATGTCTTAATTTTGTGCACAAACATGGATCAAAGGTATTACCGTCAAGTCAGTTAAAGAGCCAATACAAGAGCTGGGCGAGATGATCGCTGTAGGTCCCTTCCAAATAAATTATTCTGAGTTATGAACTATTATTACTTTAAAAATAAAGTGACAGCAAATAACTTCCATGATGGAATTTTTGTTTCAACTGTAAGAAATAAACTACATAAGGGAAAAGGCAAAAAAGATATTCTAAGGAAGGTGAGCTATCAGCTACGGATTTATTTTTAAAAAAGATAAAGATCTACTGTCTACCACGAGAGGTCACAAAGCTCAAAAACAAATTCATTTTTTTTCTCCCTAACGATGATTGAACGGCAGTCTCCATGATACTAAATCCCTACAAAAAGACTTTAACTGACGGTTAATATATTGTAATATTTTTACTAACCTGTATAGATGTCATGACCCCACTAGCAAGTACAGAAAGTTTTCCAGCCACTGATTTCACTCCTTGTTTAAACTGAGCTATATCAGGAGCTGAAGGCAAGACATTCGTAATATTGTAGCTTCCTAAAAGGAGAACACACACACACAAGAAGAAAACAAAATTTTACATTAAAAGCAGCCTTTTCTCCCCCCAAAGTATAATATACTGCTAAGAGTACTAAATACCAATGTCTGATCGACGCTGTAAAAAACACTAGGCATAGATCTCAAATTTCTTAAATGCATCTTCCTTGCAGTTTTTTCAGTTGTTCATAATTCCACCCAGAGTGTCATCTTCTACACTTTGTATTCCCAGCTGAGCCATTAATGTTTGGATAATATGTGATTTATGCTGCACTTTCAATCTGTTGCAATGTTAATTTGTCTTGTATCCTAAACAGTTGTTACTACCTTGCAATTTAAAGATGAATGCACTTCAGTGGTGGCTGAAGGGATGAACCCTATTTGTGTGCGTGCTTAGGTATGCTTTGCATGCTGTATATACACACATATTTTGCATTACTACATCTGACGCTTGGAAAATTCTATAGAAATTATAGTAAAGGTAAGTAAGCAAGTTTTAAAACTCCAAAACAAAGCTGGCAATCCAGCCTTCCTTAAAGCCAATATAGTTCAGCCAGTGTTAGCTCTACTGCTATTATGAAAAGTATAAGCCTAAAGATGTTTCAAAACTGACTGCATGATAAGTATTAACATGCTAACAATTGCAATCACCCACTCATCTGCGAAAAGAATTACTGGCACGCCTTAGTATTAAATACCTGATACTGTAAAAAGCACAAATGGCAGTAAACCAGCATCACAGAACTATGCTCCCGGGGACAAATGGGGCTCCCGAGAGGAAGCATCCCAGAACAGACCGCTTTCAAAATGGAGACTGCAATCTGTAGCCTGAATTTAGACACGTAGCCAACTGACAGCCATGACCAGTCGGGACACAGCTGGTAACTTGTGCGCAGCGACCGAGCCTCGGACAAGCTCGTCCAGCCGCACGCTCCGCAACCTGCACAACCATAACTCTTTTTGACAGCAGCTCCATACAGAACATTGCTACACGCTGGCAGCCCCTTCTTCTTTTTTTCTTTTTGAACAGGGGTGAAGGAGGAAGAGAGAGAGAACCTGCAGCTCCTCTTTTCATGGCAAATTAAAGGCACCTGCCTCGTTAGCAGGCCGAGACAGACATTACTGTAGATAATCTGGTTTGCCTAAGCTAAGCAGCTGGTTCATAGCAGCAGATGCAGAGTCACATTCTGAGAGCTTCCCACCCCATTCTTTAAAGCCAGCTAGTAGCTGTTTTTACAATGCATGGGCGAACCTGCTTATAGATTATTTTCAAAAATTCACCGTCACTGAGACAGACCTGTTTCTGAACTGTAATTTTGACTTCCTTACGATCTGTTCCACTTATCAAATGCTTCAGCATTTTTGTTATTAAAGTCAGAGTCATGGAAATAAAACTTTCAGGTATAAATAACCTGAGAAAAGCTCTAACCGCTTCTCAGGGACGTGAATTTTCTCATGTTTTTCTGGTTATGTATGGTTGTCTGAAAAACTTATTGTAAATGAGACAGGAAAAGCAACTCCTTTTCTTGTTATTTCCTTCAAAAGCAGCATCTACGGGTCAGTCAGCTGACACGCCGTCTTTCGTAAGCAACAGGTCTGAAGTAATGCAAAGTAAAAGCATTTTCTTGCAGCCCCTTCTTTTTGGTAAATAGCTCCTACAGCATTCTGTACAAAAGCAAGCATCCCAAAACTGTTCTACCCTAAAATCCCAGCAGTGCTCATAAAAACAACTTCAGATTCAAAGGACATTTTATTCTGGCAAGGACTCTAGAATTACAGCAGCACTTTTGTTGCCAGCCTCCAGTCTCCTGATTACCTTTATTTTATGGAACTAATGATGGCCTTGGCAGTAATTCAACACCAGACAAGCTACCAGTGCAGTAAAATTTCTCCAAGAAGGGCCATTGTCAAAAGATAGTCCCTGGGGGGGGGTGGGTGGGGGTGGGCAGTGTACCAGAATAACATGCAGGAAAGGAAGATTCTGTAGATTGAATATAGTGTGAATTTATAATATACAAACTAATAATTCCTGGTGTGCTTTTTCCTCACTATTATTTTAGAGCAGTTAACAACGCACAAAATTTAGCAGAAGTTTAGTCTTTGTAATACAACTTTAAATTTACTGTTGGGTTACGTGCCAGTCACAGAGAGTAACTAACCTCAAGTTGCAGGCAGGTATTTTTCATGCCACTACTAGGAATCTCTGCATTCCCCCACAAGCCCCAAGAACCTTTCCAAGGGTCAATGATGAATAATCATCTGTGCACAATTCACGTACACATAGTAAACATTATATAACTGCCTATAAGTACCCTTATTCAGAATATGGCAAGAATTTTATCACATATATATGCACATGTACATAGGAAGGCCATTCATATACACATATATACACACAGATATATCTCTCTTTCTCTCACACAATTTGCCCCATCTTTAACTGTTATTTACCTTTCCCTAGTTCATTCTCTTATTCATTACTGTGTAAAAACCCCACAAATTACACAAATTAAAGGAAAAATTAATTGCATGTAAAGTAATTTATATGCAAGAAAATTAAAAGGACAAAGAAAGTACTATTCAGCAATAGCTAGATAACAAAATAATGTTATCACAATCCCATATATTATTGAAAACTTTATCATTTACAAATTCAGAAAGAAACACCATTTCTTTGCTTATGTTGCCATCATCTTTTTTAATCACAGGTATGTCACCATGTTGCAAATATTCTTTCAAGTGGCTAAAATAACTTACTGTAATTTCTGCTTTATGTCTCCTCCTATGCTTAATTTTTTTTTTTTTTTTTTTTTTTTACATTTCAATTGACTAAAATCCAGCTTAAGTAACTGGTAACAGGAGCTACTTTTTACTAGCCAGTATATTCAAAACTTGCTTTCAGGGGATCAAAACTGAACAGTCACATGGCTGTTCTTTCTTCCAGAGTAAAATCAGATGCTGCATACTGTTTGCTTTTCCAGCCTATTTCTGTAATTATTCACAGGTTTGGAGCTCTTCAAGAATTTTTTTTTTCCATTTCTTTGCAAGTTACGGAATGAAACCCAACTGATCAGGTCAATAAAATACTCCAGTATTTCTTACCTTTTCTATTTCACATTATTGCACTACCCAAAAAGGGTGTTGGAAAGAAAACATGAGAGATTTTCAATAGCCTAAGGGGCTACTTTTCAGTCAATCTATTCTAATACTTCTTCCTTTCTAATTTGATGAACTATACTCTCCAGTGTAAGGTGTTCCAACAAATCTTTTAAACAGACAAACCAATTCCAAAATTTTCTTAATAATTTGGCAAGACCAGTGTCAGAAGCAGATATCCCAATGAACGGATATGCCATGCGACAGATTACATGGGAATTTCAAGCCCACTAACATTTTATTAATGATTCCTCTTAGATTCAATATTATATGACAACTATTTTCACATATATAAGTTACTTCTGGTAACTTATAAAAAATCTACCTGATAGTCAATTTAGGTGTTATCTCATTTGTTTTTATAATCAAATATTACAGTTTTTCTTTGATATAAATTGTTTACAATATAGTCAGTCTATTATTTGCAACAAGTCACAAAAAAACCCCAGTATAATACATTGAACTTACTGAACTGAAAATACAGAACTTGAAATTTTTTTTGTTTGTTTTAAATAATGAGTAGACCAGTTACGCTTGTTTGACCTACTAGCAATACTGATGCATACTGCACTTCGCACACTTCTTGCAGAATACAGTGACAGCTAGCTGATAGTAGAACTAGAAGCAGAGTACTGGAGCATTTCCCACTGCATGCTACAGTTCCTCAGTCTGTTCAACATGTACCTGCTGGTTGTTTTTTCTGATCTTCAAACAAGTCAGCTGAACTTATAGAGGAGCTTCCAGAAAATCTTTCTAGTCGAGCCCTTGCTTCATACTAGGAAAGAATTGAGAAGAAAAAGTATTGTAACAGTATGCTGTCATCTTTTGAGGTCATGTCAGATAATTTGTGAGATTATACAGTTTTAAAACATACAAATCTAGCTGAAGTTGACTATTCTGAAAGCTGTTCCCATTTCATAGTTTTCACATGACTTTTCACATGACAGTGTGAGTTTGTCATCATCGCAACTCATTTCTGAGTTGGTCAAAGACTGACATTTACCATTGCAACACCAAGAGGCCTACTCACTGTTAGCTAACCTAAAAAAGGGGATTGCTGAAAAGGCAGAGGAGAATGAACTACACAACCATTAAAAATAACAACTAAAAATGTGAAATGCAGTGGTTGGGTAGAATAAGGAAAAAGCCCTGCAGTTAACATCATGTTCTTCTAATCACGTGATGCTTTTAATTCAACTTTTTCTGAGTTCCTTGGGAATGGTGATACATTGATTATATATTTTTACATTACTGTTTACATTGTTAATTTTTCATTAAAAATAGGTTTTTTAAAAATGATGCCTCACCTCCAAAATGCAACATAATATTAATCTGGTTTTTATTCCTAGGGTGATTTAATTAGATGTCATTTGTTGAACCATTTACCTGCTTGCTTAGCCTTACAATAGTAACAGTGTTTCCATGTAGCAAATACAGAGGGGACAGCAGTTTTATCAATGGTTTGTTAGCATTTGTTTAGAATAAAAGAAGCCTTCACCCAGCATCAGGCTGATCCTTTCAAAAATAAAGACTGCTGAATCATAGTCTACCACTTCTATCAGAGAGGAATGATGTTGGAGGTAAAGTCCTTCTTGCAGCTGCAATTCCTCAGGAAATACTAAACTATCAGAGTTATCAGAGACTTGTACATTTCCATCAAACAAATATTCAAGTGGACATAATTCTCTAAGCTTAGTAATTCTACCAATTTTAACTATTTATTGACTTCTCTTTATACAAGAACACCATGTTTATAGTCAAAGGATAGTTTAACATTCAAAAATATTTATCACTGCTTTCTACTTACATCAGCATGATCTTGCCTTCCAAAATACATGTCTGATGAAATTGCTTTTATATTGCCAAATTTTTTTTGTGCCTCATCTGTGTTTAAAGATGGTTCATATTCAGGTTTACGACGAGATGTAGGCCTAAAAGGAAAATAAACGCATCAGTGAGCGTAAGTTTTATTTATATCATGGCAGAATGCAATAAATCGAACAAGCACCATCATCTTTGTTTTGTGAAGCCTAAAAGCATAATTGTGATTTTTTTTGATAAAAATTAAATCAGTATGAACCCAGCATAAAGAAGTTCAGATAACTAAGTTAATATAGCAGCAAATAAAATTCCAGTGACAGTTTTACAAGATGGTGAATATATAGTATTTCAAATTCACTAATCCTGTATCTTTATTTTCAGAGTTCATTTAAAAAGCAAGCCAAAATTATGTCAACAAGGACAGAATAGTTCTACAAAACCTCAAAAAAACCAAAACACAATCTCAGCGAAATTCAGATTTAAATGTAATAGCACAAGAAGGTTGAACATCCTTTGAATTGTCACTGCCTTCCACCTCAAACATAGATATTTAACACTTGCCTTTTCTCTCTTTTTTTTTTTTTTTTAAATATATGTAGTCAAATAAGGAAGTAATAGCATTATGGACATGAACCCCTATTTTGTGTAATATGCATCACTGGTCCAGTCTTTAGGAAACAACAGAACGTGCTTGTGTTTAAAAAAAAAAAAAGCTGTACTTAAGTGCACACGCTGCATTGTACAAGTAAATGAAAATACAGGTAATAACAACAGAAGCAGAAAACACCAGCCAAGCACACAAAGCCCCACATTCTTATATTTTCTACTTGATTACAAGGATAAAACCACAGTTGTCAGGAAAGAAACGTATTCATTTTTTATTCTCACAACAATTAGACCTGTTGTTTGCAAGTATCTTCAACACCTTCATCCTGAAAGCTGAGTACCCTACAGTTTCATTCATCCGGTAACTGGGCTCTGCCTGGTTCATTAAGCAATAAACAAAGCAAGTAAAGCAAGTATGCTCTCAGAACAGTGCAAACATTAGAGTTTCACTCCATGTCTTTTGTCTACTTCTTTTTTTGCTGAAATGCATTGGAAATTACCTCCAGTACAAATACTCAACAGCACTGAGCAAAACAGTGCTTAAAACGTAAGTAACTAAATAGGAAATTCAGCTTACAAAAGAAATTCAGCCAGGAAGTTCCTTGACTGCTGATGAAAATTATGGCCAAATTTTCCCCCTAGACTGAAAAAAATCCCTCTACTGTGACCAGGACTCAAATCATATTAACAAGCTTGGGCTTGCTGTACTAAAATCAGTTAGGTTTTCTTTGTATACCTGTCTGAAAATCCTGTACTTTTTGAAGTTAACATTGCCTCAACATCTCTACTGTTATTTTCTTTCTTCCAAAAAGAATCTGTGTTGTCATCCCATTTAGAGAAAGTGCTGCTCCTCAAATCTGAAGAATCATAGTACCTAAAGAGGAAAAAAAAAGTATTGAAAAAGTCAGAACTTTATATTGCTAAATAAATATTGCTTTAGTAAGTGTTCACTAGCAAGTAAGTTTTCAGCACAATGGTAGGTGTCAGCGAATAATTTGGATTTCATAATATTGGTTAGAAGCTTTGTGCAGTTGAATCCAATGGATTTTTGGAGTTTTGCACATGTATTTAACCAAATGAAAAGTTTGGACTTTTATGCTGTATATGGTCATGAATATGCAGTGGACTGCCTGAAAGATCTGGTCCCATCAAAACGAGCAGAGCAAAGTTCTCATTACTTCAAAGTATTATTTCTTCTTTCGTGTCAGACAAAGCACTGGGAAGAACATTGTCAAGACACCTGGCTGGTTTAAGAGCTTCAGGAGCTAAGAAAACTTTCAGGATGGACCTTGTGAGCAAGGCATCATGATGATCCTACAAGGTAAAAGGTAGCCTGCTCACAAAGGCCTGGTGCTCTTGACACTCTGTACTAAGAAACCAGCTATGAAAAAAGCCACCACAACTTTCAAAGCACTTTGAACACTCCAGAGATCCAAGAGCACCTAACCCATGGCGTCCAATTGTGCTATGGTTTCACACGGGGCAAAGTTTTCTAACTAAGGGGCTGACAGTGGCTAATCTCACAGTTCCCTATGAGTCAAACTGTAAGCTATGCAAGCAGAGAATCTGCTCCCATTTTCCGAGGCATCAACAAACATAGTTCAGAGCAGTAAGGAAAGCCCTTGTTTCTGGTTCTGTATACATATTTTTAATACAAATATTAGCATTAAATACCTCTGACCCTTGTAACACATTTTATTAAAACAATGCTAAAGAACATATTTCTTAAAAGTGAGTTTTAATTTAATGAGACCATCTCCTCTTGCACATCAAAACTGCAGGGAAAACACAAACAGAAATAAAAGGGAAAAAAATGAAGCATGTTTGTCAATTCCAGTGGTACCTTATCTTGACCTTTTCCCCTTTGATTATCTACACATATCTAAACATATGGAAAACACTTGGGGGAAAAAAAACTATTAAAATGTGAAAGATTAAGAATTTCCTTTTGTGGCTAAATAAACTTTCTTAAAGTCTGGATATGACCAGGATAGGGAGTAAGATGATCAACATGACAGGAGGCTAGCAGAACGGAATCATTCAATAGAATAAACACAGGATATTAAAGGCTGCACCTGTATTTTGTGAAAAGCACCTTTAAAAAGAACGTTCTCCATGTTTGTGTTATCAATAGTCAGGACATTGCTTTTGCAGTTTATGAGAAATGTGACACCTTCAGCCACCTCTGCACAGGTGAAATAGCAGGGACAGATCTGGAATTAACTTCTACAAAAAGCAGGAGTCTCTGCCCTTCTCTCCTGACAAAGTGCATTTAGGGCTCTGAGCAAAGGAGATTCACTGCAATGCAATTTTCATCTTCACAGTATCAACCCACAGAGTGGATGTTACACCCAGTAGATTCCTGAAGGTACTTTTTCCTGCTAAACGAGGCTTTTTACCCCCTCCAACTTTTGGATACAGGTGGAAAATCCAAAGTAAGTGTCATAGATGAAAGCTGAAAGGAAAGGAAAATCACAGAATCTACTTTTTGGGGCACATCACTATACCAATTCAATCTTTCATTGTTCCTGTGAGCTTAGGTTGTTTTCAGTGCAGTATTGCATGTAAAATAACTAAAAGGAAAGCAGAAAGTCCCAGACAAGAGCAGTACAGCACCAGAAAGTAGTCGGTATTCCAAATTTCTTCATTCAGCTGCCTCTCTCCCTTACATCAGCTTAGAAATATGGCAAGTTGCTACATGCTTTCCTACAACCAGGGTCATTTTCTTTTGGCCTGACTTCTCAGTTTCTATGTCGTATGTTACTATGATAGCAGAGTGTAGAAGCACAGTATACAACCTGCAAGGAAGCTACTACATAGCAACGCTCTTATTCCTGCCCACCTAATGAAGAAGCCACAGCACTCTTTAAAAGTTCCATATGGATGTGTAATAACAAACAAGGGCGTGTGTGTGTGTACATATATATATATGAAGCTATCCAATCTCACAATGGCCATCAAAACCATGGGATGGGGAAGAGGCTACAAGAGCTGATTTGAATAGAATGACTTTTCTCCATCCTTCCCCTTCAGATTTTCATAACTTTGCAAAATACTTCTTCAGTATTTGGGCAGGGCGGAAGGAGAAAGAAAAACTGCATTTAATACAAAATAAAATTTTACATTGTTATGTTAATAAAGATTTTATTAATTGCAGCAAAAAGAAGAATTAAAATCCAAGGATTTTGAGAGGCTTCAATTATATATCTAAACCTTGAGACGTCTGGCTTGCTTAATTTACAGGTACTTATCAGCACCCTAATATCCAACACCATTATTTTGCTTTTGGGCATATACTAAGATGATACTAAAATTACTTCTATTTCAAAGTCACAGCTTGGAATAAAGGATAATAACCACCTTACAAACCTTACCGAGTCCAACAATCTGACTTTATACTTTCTTTAAAGAGAATGAATTTGTATACCGACTTCAGTTAGATTCTACTATTGCTATAACTAGGAGAACAAGAGCTGGGAACAGCTAGGTTACAATTTATCTTCTAATTATTGAACCAAAACACATTAAAAAGCCTCTTCCATAATTCATCCTTTGCCTGCTAGTAGGCTTATGAATAATTTGAGAGCAGTAACAGTTCTTTTCAAGGAACAAATAGAGAAGCACTGAAATGATACATTTTACTTTACAAGACTGCTGCCAGTTTACTTGGTACCACATTTGCATTTTTGTCACTAGTGATTACACTACAAAGTAATGACACAAAAGCCTTTGTGTTTTTATTTGCCTGTCTACAAGTAACCAGGTACAATTTTTCATGTTTCTGTAGCCAAGTAATTAGGTACAATTTTTCATGTTTCTGTGGCACCAATCCAATAAAGGCAGTTTATAAAAGCCACACCTGTTTCTATCAGTCCAGAAACAGCTGTTTCATCGCAAACAGTGCCTGTAGGATTAAATGTTTTTCTTCTCCTTCCCAACAGCAGTAACTTGTAACTTGCATTGCATTCATGCTCTGATCAAAAATTTGTCAATTATTTTTTGCTTATGTTTTATGTTCAAATACATAAAAGTCTATCAAATAAGACTACAGACATCTACACAATATATCCAACACACAATACCTCAAAAAGATTTAAGCTTTTGCATCTGGCATTCATCCACTTAGAAGACTGATGCAACTGTAGTATATCTAGTATCAGATTTTGATACTTGTTTAATTTTAAATCGAAAGTTGAAAACAGTACCACAAGGTGGGGGGGAGAAAGGGGAAGAATGAACACAAATAATTCTGACCAAAAAATTCACTGGATTAGGTATACAGCAAATAAAAGTTTATATGGCAACTCTCTGTGCAAGTAGACTAGACCCTGAACAAGACCAAAATCTGTGAACATGTAATTCAGACCGCCTTCTCAGGAAGAGTCACTCCTCTTCCTTTATAAATACATCTGTCGTCAAGGTAAGGTCAACTATTTCACAACTTTTCTGATTCAGATGTCCCCTGAAAATATGCTATGTGCGTAGACATGTCCAATTGTCTTCTGTTTTGATCTTAAGTTCCAAATATATTGTGTATATTTGAATACGCAACTTGCATATTCTTCTACCCCCACTCAAAATAAAAAGCTTATACACTACCTTGAACTAGAGGAGAAATATGAGTCTTCTACATCATCAGTGTACTTTTTCTTCGGCTTTGCAACTGCAGGTGTTTCCTGCTCTATTGTTTGCATATCTGAGGTGACTGAGTGAGAAATGCCACTGGGGACAGGAAGAAAATACGTATTTAAAGAGATGACAAAGCTCACACCCTAAAAAAAAAAACAAAAATGAAAGCCCAAATCTGGTTTCCGAAGCTTGCTGATAAAGGCCAAGCTACACAAACATTTAAGAAGAAACCAGGACTTAAAAAAAGCCCTGGAGAACTCAACTGTAGTTCTCTGAAGTAGTGACAGGACTTGTGAACACACAGACCCTTCCAACAGCTGGGAAACACAGCAATGTGACTTTTTCAGAGTTCTGGCTTGTAAAAGACAGATCATACTTAGGTTGTTACTGTTCACTGAAAACATCCTGGCTACCTTCCTCAGAGTCAGCTGTCAGCTAATGGAGGCAAACACCCCACAGACATCCTACAATTTAGGTTAACACCTGTCTGGCAGGTTAGAACTTAAATCTATCAGAAGCAATCCTGCCCCTTCCCCCTGACAGATACTAGATACTTTGATGATACTGTTTAAGTTTCCATAACACACTTAAGTATATTTTTTCATTTCCTAAGTAAAATGAAGGATAACTGCATAAAGCCACAGAGTGTTTAAAAAACTTCACATACCTTCTGTTGCTGCTAAACCCCATGCCAAGTCTCTCTAATTCATTTTTCTTCTTACCAGATAGATTTAACTTTTCTTCTTTTGTTTTAATATCAAGATCTCTGTAGGCCAACCGTAAAGATGATACGCTAGAACAAAACATACAGTTAATATATAGCTGTAAAATGCTACACTGAACACACAACCCAATAATATTGGTAGAAAATTAACAATGTATATTGTAGCACTGTATTTTGTATGTTCTGTGTTTACTGAAAATATTCATTATTAATTAGATTAAATTCCAACTATAAGGATAGGAGAAAGTCAGTAGGGGAGACTGTCTAAACGGTACCCCAGTCTGTGTATGAGCAGATAGTCTTTTTCAAAATGACTGCGAAACATGCTAAAGGTTCAGGATACAGTTTTGCATAACCATTAAGTCAACCTGAAAAAGTCTTTTTTCCACAGTCCTTATTCTATGTGATACCAAATAATTGTCAAAATTATCCAAACCTGACATACTACAGTACTGTGGAATTCATGATATAATACTAGTAATGTTTTCCCCTAATGCGCAGCCTGGCCCTGCTACTTCTCTCTCCCTTCACCCCCGTCACGCTCCTAGTGGTTTCAACACTTGCTATACATGCACTCTTCAGACTAGTGCTAGAGGGAGAGCACACTTGTTTATTGATGCTGTCTTTCCCTGTGCCCAAAAAGATGTCTCAGAAGAGAGGAGAGAGTCTTTGTACTCCCAAAATGGAATATATTCTGTATTATGGAAACACTGAATCACCCAAAACTTATCATTTTCTGCACAGCTGGCAATACCTTTTGTCACCTGAAACACCCTCACAGTTCAGATGTAGGAAGCTGTCCTTCTGAGATGCCATGAACCATCCTATACCTCAAAACAATCTGAACTAGTTTCCAGTAATACCAGTGTAGCAGAGACAGAGGTTTTTAATCTTGATTACAGAATTGTAGAAACACTGCTTAAAGTTAATTTGTTAGGTTAATAGGGATACAAATAGTAATTTTAATGAGCAATGCAGCAATACTTGAATTCTTAAGTTGTGACTGGCATAAAATACAAATGAACACTATCAGAAGAAAGGTAAATGAGATTTAGGATGCTGCTGATAGACATCCTGCTGCAAGTAGAAAGTAAGTACTTAAGTCTGAAAACCCTTATAACCTTCCATCCATTTTGTGCAGAAGCAGAAATGAAAACAAAACAAGTTTTTGACCAGGGAGTATTTTCTTCCAGTGTGTCTCCTAACTATTTGATTACTGAAACAGGCTCTTCCCAGCTTGTTTTTTTTTTCTAGTCCCACGCATACTGACTTAAGTTTAACCAAGAGTACAAGATGCCCCTACCAAAGTTCATACCCTGCTGGTTAGTGCATCTCCTGCGACACAGGAGCTGTGCAGCTGAGCCTGTTAGAATGAAAAGGGCACAGCATCCAGTCTTCTTCCTTCACAGACAAGGGATGTGGGTACCAGCCTGCTATAAGGAATGGGACATCACTCCTCCACTGATGAGGCACTTCAAAAAGGAGGAGAGTCATCTCAATCTTGTGATGATTAGGTACCCTTTGATTGGGGCTTTCAGAGGACTTGGAGCCAAAAATAAAAAATCACTACATCTTATGTTCAGATGCTTATAACAATAAAAGTCAGATACAAACCAGGATGCATCTGCAGAATGACTTCTGAAACCAATAAAATCAGAAAAATCTATCTTCAAAGCAGAGTATGTTCAGGGACATTTTAAATCAATTCTTACAGTTTAGGACCAACTGTTACACAGAAAATTGAAAATGTTCTCTAAAATTCAACTTGAAATGGCTACTGATAAAATCTACCCAGCACTTTAAGTAGAAAGATTAGCAACCCATCTTATGAAATCTGTTTTTATGAACATCAAAAATCTTCTTTGCTGTGGATTAAAACAAATAGGGATACTGATCAATTTTTTTAAAGTAACTCCAGTTATCTATTCTCTTGTCAGCGCAAAGCAGAAAATGAAGAACTGTGTACCAATTACAAAATAACATTTGAAGTTTTAAGTCTCAGGACTCTTTCTCCTTCTAAGTACTAGACTACAAAAGTATTGCTTCCATTCCCGCCACGTAACAAAGCCACATTGAATTAATTTACTAGAGCTCATTACTCAAGCTTTTAAAATTAAAACCGCCACAGAAATTATTTGGAAGCAAACGCAATGTTAAAAGTATTCACACTTCTTTAACTTTGGTATATACTGCCATCTACAGTTAAAAATCCAAAAAGTTAATCTCAAGGGAAATAAGAGTTATCTTGCCTCTACTGGGATCAGATCCATAAACTGAAGTGTATGTACACCCCTCATGCCTGCAGACATTTTTAGAGGGTTCTGGCCACTGCAGAAAGATTGCAGCAAACTTACACTAAAGGTTGCCTTGGAACTATATAGATTTATACATTTCTGACACAAAAACCGAATCAGTACTTGGGACTTTCTTCCGAACTGAATTATATCATTAAAGACAGTATCACTAAAGAATAAGATTAAATAAATAATAATGAACAATGATTTTTCTTGTTATTTAGTAGTCCGTTCCTCTGAGTCACTCCACTGGTAGTTTTTGGCAATCACTGAGAAGCATAACTTTGTGGTAAAAATACTTCAGGAAAAATGAATGATCCTCCTGTGATTAATATTTTTGATGTACACAAAACATCCATTTCTGCAGAGGCTACATGAAAGTGAGCAAAAGGAGTAGGGAGGAGATTATAGACCAAAAAGCTTGGTACCATGACCTCCAAGTGATCCTGTAATTATGTAAATTATAAAATAGGTTATAAAAATGATGCGTCTTAGCACTTGAGAGCTGTTAAGTTTTACAACAGTAAAAGCATACACTAACCAACTCTTTAATAGTCTAATTTTGATGACAACTAACAAAATGTTAAAAACCAAAAACATGTAGCAGAGAAATGTAGTGGAAGGAACCAGGAACAGCACCCTCTGAGCTTTAGGGCTGAGAAGGTGGACTAACAGATTCAAGGCCTCAGACAAAAATATTCAAAGGGCTTTGGTGAAAGTGAAGGCAGTTCCAGTATAAAATAGCTAAAATTTAAGCAGGCAATTCTAGCCATACTTAAAACTAACCCCTGCCTTCAGTATAGAAGCTCTTACCCAACAAGTACAAATAAAGCTGATCGTTGGTATGTTCCCTATGCTCTTAGAAAGACTGTTTTAAATGGTATTCAGTTCACTACACCAAACCAAAATAAACTAGGTAACTAGCATGGGGTAAAGAAAGTTCAAGAGGCAAGAGTCTTCTGTGGTAATACTTAAATTTAATGTATTTCAGATTTAGTTCACATTTTATTCATATGTATCAGTAGAATGTCTCCTTATTTTCTGTGTTAAATAAGAATACCACTAAGGTTATTTTTAAAGATAGCATTGGGCTATTTCTACAGTAAATCATCAATTGTAGAAACATATACTTAATGGCAAAAAAAAGGGCAATGGGGGAGTTACTGTTTGGCCCACCTCATCCACATTTGGGATATTTTTTTAAAGCAAGAACTGAAGTTTTATTTGCATGAGTTAATCTCTGATAGTATTTAAAAATTACTACATTAACATGAAATTAGGCTTCATGTTGTACCATTGTATATGTAATTCATACTTACAGTGGCTCTTCCTTCTCAGTTTTCTTACTGCTATGAAGATCCTCTTGTTCCTTCATTTTATCTACAGCTTGTGCTTGTTTTTCAATCTCATTAAAGCTTTGGCTGCTCACTTTTTGTGCCCCCAAACCACCTTTTTTGGCACCGAGCTTCATTTATTGAAAAAAACAAAAAACAAAAGCCCCAACATTATAACTGAGACAATCACCTCAACTGACTTAACAGTCAACTTTGAAAGCAACAGCAAACACTATACTCTGTTCGGGAGCATATGCGAACAGCAATGAAAATTTGGAGCAGAGAAAGTATTTTTTCATGTTTTGACCTTCTACATGCTGCTTCTACTAACTCTGCAGTCAACCATCACAGTGTAATGAAACTATTATAGTTCTAATTGTTCAGAAGTTGGCATGTTCAAATAAATGTTATAATATACAGCACAACTTTAGTTCCTTAATAATTATTTTCTTGCATAGGAATAACATAATAAAATTTGTTGCAGCAGAACCATTAGGTGCTCGTTCATTTAATTCACCATTTACATTTAGAAGTGGCAAAGATTCTTCAATTAGTTCTCACTGGCCAGTGCTACTGTGTTATTTGAAGATTAAGTATTGCTTTATTTGTATTTTTAATGAACGTGTACATAGGTATTTACTGATTTATGGCAATATGCACGGTTAGCCATTGCATGTGAACAAAGCATTGTAAATTTCTTTTTAGATACACACATCAGCTGAGAGGTTCCAGTTTTGCACTCGTTCTTTTAAAATAATTCTATTTCTAGTTCATAGTACTTCAATGCAGGGATACATATTCTTTCATTCTGATTATCGAAGATTTTAAAAACACTTATTGCTACAAATATGAGTAGATACAATTATGCTTATTCAGACAGTGGCACAGCACTCAAAACTGCTGTTCTCAGTCTCCTGTGTGTTTAATTCCTCATCTGCAACACTGCAGCAATATCAGTTTTCACAATACCTTTATTTTAACTTTTTAATGCTTTTAAGTCTTCATGTAAAAGCTCTGGCCCATGTACATACAGTTTTAGGCTCTGACACTACAGTTCACAAACAACTGTACATGCACCTGTGAACCTGGTTGTGTTGTTCTTACTGTAAGGGAACATACCTGCATAAACCATTTAGATTAAGAAATTCCTCTTGTGTATTAGGGCCCTCTAGTGGGAGCAAGAAATAATAGGTTTCAATCTAAATGACTCTTCTGCTCCAATAAATCTTCAAAATCTTTTGCCATACAATAGGCCAGACTTAAGAGAAGTGACTCCCTGTAACATATTGTCACCCTAATAGCTTAATATCAGGGCTATTTGCTTGGGACTCAGGAGCCAAACATTCAAAACCTAGCTTTTCCTAAGCTAATTTAACTTCAGTTGTCTTACTCAGCTTTCAGGCTCTTTGAACCATCATTCTGAGATACTCAGCTCTTCTCATGCCTTCTTTACAGAGACCAGGTGCCTAAGTGTTAAGACCCCATATGGAAAGAAGTCTGTAAACTATCTTGAAACTACCTTGAATTGAATGCAGCTGCAAGTTACCTATAAATACAACCAAATACCATACTGCTGTGTGGCATGATGACTGCTCCAGAAATACGTATCTGAATGTCTCAAACTCACCTTATATTGACAGATGATGCCACACATGCATATTTAGCCACTCAAACACTATTGGAACTCCCTTTGTTTTCAGGATTTGCTACAAAAAAGATCTCAATGACAACTAACTTAGGTAAAAGCCTGAAGAAGCCCTGCAACCCAGTATCAGTAAGTGAGAAGAAAGGTTACAGGGCATCAGTGCACTTGCAGGGACAATTGTTGTGAAAAGAACCAGAGAGAAGTGGGATACAGACCTTGACATCAATATATGCCTTGAAATTTTTGTTTTACTCATTTTTGAAAAGGTATCACCTGCTGTTCAGGTCCAGACAGCACAAAGAAAATGACACTTAGATGTACATGAGGAAGTCTAGACAGTTCAGTGAGCTACATACACATAAACAGACTTAACATTTATCTGAGGTCAGAAAACAACGCACAGATCTGAAGCACTCTACTACGTAACAACAGTAATATGTTAGACAAATTAATCTTAACAATAATCCATTTTCAAACACACCATTGGCTGTTTTGATATAGAAATGGTTTTCAATTCCATTTTAGTTTCATAAATCATTACTGATAAAAGTACTGCTTAGTGCTAACTTACATGATACATTTCCATATTGCAATCTACATTATTTCCAGAGATCTAGAATACAGATAAAAATATATATTATTTATATACACTTACCCCCTTCTTAGCTTGATTTGGCTTCTTTTTTATTAAGGTGGTATTCTCTGCAAGGATTAAATGTACATTACTTGACATACAATTTTATTAATTCCAGAACTGCAAAAGATAATTTCCACAATATCAGCCTCAAAACAGTTTTTGGAATTTATTTTAATGCCTTGAAGTCTTACAGTTTCTACACTAAGAGACTGAGATACTGAACTGAGTTACAGGGAATGGAGCTGTGAATATCTCCAAGAAAATGTGGGAAACTGCCTCTGATTGAGGATAATTCATGTCTTGCAAATACATAATAGGAATAAAATTACACCTTAGTTTTCAGTTGTAGATACCTGCTAGTAACCAGAACAAGAATGCAGGACTTGCTATTCTGAATCAGACTAGAGGTCCACCTGATCCTGTAGCATTTCCAAGATTAATTGTTTCCTGGATAGAAAGGTATTGGCTATGTTTAAAACCACCAATGATACAGATAAAACATACCTGTATCATCATAAACAAAATCACAAACATTATCAGACGTGACAACATACTCTGTCACTAGATTGAAAAGTTTTGTTCAACTGCCAAAGTACAGTACTGGGAGTTTGAAAGTTACAGCTTTAATGCTTTGTATTAAATCTTGAAACATAGAAAAGAAATGAACCTACATTCTGCTCTGCATGAAGTCTGACACAACTCCTAATATTGATATTTTTAATGAGACACTGATAGGACTCACTACATTCTGTAAGGCGCTGTATTGTGCCTTCTTGACAGCTACCCTGAAGCAGGGTAGACCTCCCACAATCACAAGTTTTCAATCAACAATTCATATTGAATGCTTGTACATACAGAAAAAAATGGTTTGAGCTGAAATTTAGTTGGAAACAGGCATGCACAGAACAGAGATTCTTCACATAAGATAGAATTTGTGACGTCCAAAACAAACAAGAAAAGCACTTATTTTATGAGAACATGTGTTAAAGATACAAATGACAAAACCAGGAAGTTTATGCAGTTAACTATTTTCCTAGTCTCCAGCTCTCAAAAAAACCCAACCAAACAAAACCCAAACCCAACCAAGTGAATATAAAAACAGTGAAGACCACCATACCTTCCTGAAGCACTGAGTTAGACCCAGTCACCGCTTCTTTACTACCCCTGTGCTGCTGAGAATCAATGCTCTTTATTCTCAGAAACCTGCTCCTGCAGGATGATCCTCAAAATGATGAATCACTGATGTATTTTATTCTATTCTATTTTCCTCAACTTTTTTTTTTACTTACTTACAGTATGATTCACTCTTCAGTGTTAAGTAAGTTAAGACTCTGAACATTGAAGATATTGTATTACAAGATTTTTCCAGTTTAAGTTCTTATGTTCAGCTTTCTGAAAAGGGAACAAAAACTATGTCTAGCTAGAAAGACTGATCTATGACCAAACAAGATGTGTTTGCTTAAATAAATAACAGGCCATTAATCACAGCACAATGGTCTATTCCACCTGTGTGCTTTAAATGCAGAACTTAAAGCAGTAACAGGAGATCTAAAACATTAACGGTCACCTTTATTAGGTGTGATACCTGTAGCACTTAAATTCATCAGGCTGGCTAAGATAAGATAGATAAAACCAGAACAACACTGACTAAAATTAACTTCTTAGAAGTACACTGTTTAAAAGAAGAAGTTGTAACACAAATTCAGATGTTTCAACTAACTCATGCACACTGATACTAAAGAATTCCACATCTCTTTCCAGTCATACATTCTCTGTACAAATGAATATCTAAGTACACTATACTCGCTGCTATCTTCTGCTTACACTCATTACCTAGTGCAGCTTTTGGTGATGTACTAAGGCAATCAACACTTGGTCCATGTTCTGGTCCTAAAACATAATGAATAACAAGGGTAAGAAAATCAGAAGGCTCTTTAGAATGCTTAAAATACCAAAACACAACTCGTGGTACTCAGGGTACTGTTTGATACATATAGTATAATGTGTTATTTCTATCACAGCTTTACCAGTTACTAAAAAAGCAGCAGGCACCCAAAAATTCATCTGAAGTCTTTTGAATTAAATTTTAATTTGGATTTCTATTAAACATTATTAAAGGAACATGCAGTCTCACACATTTTAGCATAACCCTTCTAAAAAGTCCTTCCTCTCCAAAATTCTTGCATTATTAGCATGGTTAGGTTATTTAACTATTAAAGTAGGGTAAAAAGAGTCTAAACAAAGAGACTACCAGAAAAATGCAGCTTATTGTTAACAAAGAATCAGTCATACCTTCACAGCATTCTGGAATATTTTCTGAAGTTTTCTGCTGTAAAGAAACTGGCTCTGGCTCTGATAACACCCACTCTGTATTCTTTGCCTTGAAAAAAATTACAAAATCAAAAGTGCACACAAAATAGAATACAGCAAATAAATACGAGCACTGAGCTCAAAGACTGCCGAAGCACCACTGATTAGTTAATACTGTATTTGTTAAAATGCGTTTTAATTGTGCTTTATATTTATTTATTGTATCCTGGCTATTAATTTTCTTTACTCATAACAGTAATACACTACAGGAAATCTGGATCATTTATTTACATATAATCACCAAACCTTCTCCCCACACTAAGCTCTTACACTTCCAATTTTCTAACATTTCATTTTTGATTGTGAGCAGTCCTCCCAAGTCTTCCTGATGAGTCCTCCCACTTCCCTCAGACGCATCCTCCTCACCAGGCAGGCTTGTGACGTGGTCACCACCATGTCTGCTTAGTATTATCTTTTCCATCAATGCTGTGCCACTGCCAGTTCATGCTTATTCTTCCCTAAAATCTCAATCTCAAAACTTCCTGACTTCTCTCTCAGAACATCCATACCCAAACAATCTCTTGCCCTGAGGTATACAGAATGCTTGTCTCTAACCTCCTGCCTTTGCAGCTACCCGAAAAGTCTGCTGTGAAAATTTACTTTATCCTACCTATACATTCTCTTAAGAGGGTTTGTTTCAAGTTCCTACTTCTTGTCCTCAACCTCAAAAATATTTACAACACTTTTCTGCTTAAACGTCTTTTTCTTTAGCTTGCCTCAGTTTATGCTTTTCCCACTCAACTGCAAGCATTCTTCCAAGATGCCTTTTGCAAACAGAAACATTCCATTTATTTTTCTGCTATCAGGACAGATAATCTTCTGGTGAAGACACTAGACTAGAATTCACATTGACTGGGGTTTTTTTGTCTCGGCAATAAGCGTTTATGAGTAATAGAGCAATCTTCCCAGTCTGTAAAATGTAAATACTCTTTCACTGTTTCAAAGATGCTGAAATTTATTTTTATAAGACATTCAAATATTGGCTGCAGTAGAAGTTCCTAAAAGAGAACAAATAGATAGCAAAAAGGCTGAATTTCCCTTTAAAATGCACCACCTCACAAATATAACAAAAAAGTTACATTTTAAAATGTCAAAACTGAATAACCAAAATTAAAAAAAAAGGAATTTTTTATTTAAATTACAGCTTTTTTCATCCTTAAGCATCCCATATACACTAGAAAGTCCCTAAAAAGTCATGTCATTTTTACTGTGTTCTTTACCCAGGTGCATATATGAGCAACTTGCATAGGCTTTTATTACTTGCTGCTAATGCACGTGCACAACGACAATGTCGTGACAGAAGAATTAACATGCATATGAAGTGGTGAAGAGTTTTCACAAAAAGGGCTAATATGATATACCGAAGCTCTTTGAATTCTTCTCTATCCCAAAATTTGCCTCATGATCATACTTGCATTTTAGGTGTTTACAGACTGCAACTGTACTAGAAACACTTAATATTGTTGCAATATTTAGGAATACTAGGTGTAGTGATAACTTAATTGCTCTAAGTTTAAGATCACAATTGCCGAAGTTGTTTTCACTGGTATTTTTCAAATACCAGATTCAAGAGAGCCTCTGAAACATTAATCTGTGAAATAAACACAGCATCTATCACCTGAAGGAGGTAGGATCAAATAAACTAACACCAACAGTAGCAATAGCCTTCAGAAAGTTACTTTAACTTTTTCAAAGAGGACGTAAGTATTTTGGACGAAGAAAAAAAGCTTCTGCTTAGCAGATGTTTTAAGAACTGTTAAACTTTAATGATTAAAACCCAAAGTTATCACACAGTATATTTAAATCAGGGCACTCCCAAGCAAGGAATCATTGAGTCCAAGTGGAATTGTATGCCTACAAAAAACCCACAGTTTCATTCCACATTTAGCTACTATTTGGGTCATTCTAAATTATCATCTTAAAAAGTGGTTCACATCCGGGAAGAATTTTGAGAGCCACAGAAGGAAAAGCAGATAAATGTTAACTCCCTGACCTGCCCTTTCTCTGTAAGGTTTTCTTTCAGGGTTTAGTCTTCATCATAGAGCACAGAGTTAACCTAAGCGTTTAGAAAGCTAACAAGAATTAAATACAGGGTATTTATACCTTGGGAGCCACATGGGATGCAAAAAAGTCTTCCTCTTTGTTTTGAGGTGACACAGGTGGCATTCCACATCCATCTGTCCACAGCTAGAATTAAAAGAGAGAGAGAGAGAGAGAGAGAATTTTACAGGACAATTGCATGAATATTTTTTTCAAATGCACTTATCTTAAACCTATTCTTTTTTCTTCCCCCAGGTTAAAAATTTATTAATTGTTTTTTTCCAGTACATAATTTTTCCTTACAAATTTGTTCAAGCATCAATAAATGACATTCCTCTTTTTTTTTATTTCATACATCTTTGATGTGTTCCTTCACATTACCCATTTCCTTCCTAACAAAATGCTCAGTATAAGCTCTGCTGCAGTAATACTGTCAATATTTAGCATCACTAGAACTTTATAACAACTAAGTTTTTTCATATTCTCATATAAGGTATTTTCTCTCTAATATTCTTACTTTGCCCAAAGGAAAAAAAAAAAAAAAAGAAAACACAACACTAGCAGTCATCAGAAACAGTTTTTGGAATTGTATCAGTGTGGTCTGGTACTCTGATGAATTTTCCCACCTAGTCTCAGATTCCCAAAACTTTTGCTACAGTTAAAGCAGAGTTTTTCAAGATGCTAACTAACATTTCTGATTTATGCCTGATCTCAGGGCGGGCTGGAGGGCCCACAGTGCCACAGGTCATTCTTAGCATCATGCAGGACAGGACTAGAACCTGTGATCTGCACTCCAAGGTTACTCACAGGCAAATAATTTCTTATGGTTCTTTTCTACTACATGCAAAAGATACATGACCAAAAATAATGACCTCTGTCAAAAAGGTTACTGAATGTGTAACAAGCTTACCTCATCATTCAACAATCAACTGAATCAGTAAGTTAGAGAAGACATTTTTTCAAATGTGACAGGGGAGGGGATGGCTGGTACTAAATCTAATTAACTGAGTAATTTACTTCAGCAATTTAGATAGCACATAGTCACTTAAGCTTGCAGTACATAATTAAAGAGTATATTTACTAAATTTTTTAAATAAAAATACATAATTATTATCAAACAATTGGATGGAATCTGTAATTGAAGCAAGATAATCACAGTGTCATTTGGGGAACTTAGCATCAGCTTAAATGCACATGGTATATTATATTTACTTGAACGTGTTTTACATCTAAAGCTGTTTAGTAAGTAAAAAAAAATATTCTCTGACATTAGTGATACAAACTATATTGTCTATAACATTTATAATATAGAATTGTTATAATCCATTAAATTTCACACTATTTGATGCATAGATCAGAAAAAAACCCCAAGCTTTCTTGCTTTTCTTTTAATTCCCATTCAGTCATGGACTTTAACAAGCTGAATTAAACTATCAAAACATGCTTTCTGTGTATGCAGAAGAGAACTGTTGTCAAACTTATTTAACACCTCAGCAAACTAATTCTGCATACTTCACTAATAACTTCTTCCTGTCAGCAACCTAACTTCAGGTTTTCATAGCATGCATGAACTGTTTCACCATTTTTAATGGAGAACAGAAAGTTCAGGACATATGTAACTTGCTAATTTTTCAAAAATTAATTTTGTAGAAAAAAAGCAAAAAACACATGTACCTGTTCAAAACAAATCCCACTTGAATCACAAATATTTTGTAGTTCATTCTATTAGCACTTTTACATTTTTACATGCTGTACTTCTCAATAATAATTCAGTTCCAGAAAAGCAAAAGTAAGCCCACTATATAGTTCATAGAGAAGAGCTGACTTTTTTTTTTACGCAAAAACACACCTGCAAAACAAAGCAGCTTCCATTTTGAAGAATACTTGAAGTTTCTGTCTGGAACTCCTGTAAGTTACTGCAAATGTTACAATTAATGTTTTGAGTAACCCAGAAGTGATCCTGAAATATCAGGTTGAGCTCTATCTCAATATTCTTTTTCTAAACAAAAAAAGATAAGCTGCAAATAGTTTACACCCCAGCTTGCCTGTTCACTGCAATGTGTATCTGTACCTCCCAAAGACAGATAATCTTTTGCATTACTAATTTGAAACTTAAAATTACTGTAGAGGGAAAGAAGATACAAGTTTTTCAGAAATCTGAATGACATAGGACACACACTACTCACATCAGTACCATGCTTTCTTGTTGCTTGCGTTGCAAGAGATTTAATCTTTTCCTTGTAAAGCTGAGCACCACGACTGTTATACTTTGCATTAGTATCATTTGTTGTGCATCCATGTTGATGGAAAAAAGCAGACTATGAAGCAGAAAACAGAAAATGCTATGAGAAACAGGTTTAAAACCTAATGGCATTTAACATAAAAATACATTGCAATGCAGCAAAATACTCTGCTCCCCTATCTAAATTTAATCTTTTAAATTATTAAGACTAGGTAGACCTGCAAAATAAAAAGAAAACTCCATTCTGGCAACCTCTCTACATATAAATAAAACAACAGAAATCCCAAATACATTAGTGGGGCATCTTAAAAGCATATACAAATACAAGCTTCCCATCATATATAAAGAATCCTAGTTCTGAAACTAATTGTAGAAAGGAAGATGTAATTGATTGCTAATACCTGTGCTTCAAAGGGCATTC